GGGCGCGCGTCTCCTAGCAACGGCAAAACAAGGTCACGTTCTAACCAGCCCGGACGGGTGGGGCGCCGGGCTCCGACCCGAGCCGCTGCTCCCCCAACCCTTCCTGCCACAGCCCGTTAGTTTAGGGTAGACCCCGCCTTGCGCCGCCTCGGCCCCTGTCACCCTGGGCCAAGGGCGTGCAAGGGACGCAGGATCAGGGATTCCAGAGGACACCGGACGGGCGGGCGTCCTAGCTAACGGGTGACCAGGAGGTAGTTGAGCAGCTGTCCTGAGCCGCTTGGGCTGGCTGGACCAGTGCGCACCTTGCTTTTACAAAAGCAAGAGAATGCGCCCTTGCAAGTGATTCTAACTCCTTCCCACGCGGTAGAGACATCTAGAAATATTCCAGATTTCCAGATGAGGAGATGCTAACAGGATGTTTCTAATGATGATTCTGAATGTAATTGTATCCTCCACGGATTCACAAATATGGATTGAATAGGCAGTAGACACTTTTGTGTGCTTGAGAATAAGATGATTAGCAAACAGTCTGCTTTTGTAGAATGTCTTTCTGGGAAAAGACTGAGCCAACTGCCTCATGAATAAATTTACCTAGAAAATGTGGCCCTTGGTAATTTCAGGGTGCTTGTGACAATATAGGAGAGAAATACTGACCTAAGTTTTGGGAAAGCATCAGTGAAAGACCATTTTTATGGTAGATGCCATATGAAATTGTAATTTGGAAGAATCTACATGGTGTACTTATTTTATTGTAAATTGGTAATATCCCAGAGAAATTTCCTGGTTTTCTCAAGACCTGTATTACCAGTGGTACTTATTGCCTTTGTGAATAATATAAGATGCAGATTTACCCCAATGCATAGTTTCAAGAAAAATCAGTGAAATCTCAAATTGCATGTTTTATCAAATTATTAACTCTAGTAGGAGTTTAGGATTGCCTTGCTATTGCTATGGAAACTCAGCCATTTACAGGAATTTGCAAAAAGATGATAAGGGGCTTTTGTAAAATCCTATTTGTATTTCCTTTGAAATCAAGTAGGCCCAGCCAGTATTCCTTGCAAAAATGTATTGTTGCATCCTTCCCTTGACTAGAAAGATACAAAAACACTGAGCGGTTTCAACCTTGCAAAATCACCTTCACTGAATTGCACTCTAACTTTATAGTAACAGTGTGGGTTAAATTCAGGAGATCAGGATGGGTTTTACATATTTAAAAGGTGGAAGGCAAGAGAGTGGGGGAGAGAGAAAGAAGAAGGAAGAGGAGGAAGAAGGGGAGAGGAAGAGATAGTCAATAGAGATCATCTGTTATGAAAAAGCTTCAAACGTTTGCTCTGTCCCTCTTTACAGAAAAAAAAAATGTTTGGTATGCCTGCCTGTTGCATAAGCAGTAATAAACATTTGAAAATAGCACCAAATGATGTAAAACGTGATTAAATTTATGGAACCTACCATGTACTTTGTTGCATGATCTTCCTAGCAAAAGCCCTTTGAGATATTTTATTTACATATTATGCCAGGAAAATGTTCCATTTAGGCTGTAGCTCCAACGGTGTGCTTCTGTACCCTGGGATCCCACAGAGAAAGTCTGGGGATTCTGTGTAGTTTTATTTTTATGAGTGAAGCACAGTGACATCTGTTGGACCATGTTAGCAACTACAACTGTGTGAGTACAGTATTTACTTAATAAATGGAACTGTCAGACATTTCTTTTAGCCTGAGACGCAGTAAAAAAGTTTTATAGACCCTAAGGGTTTTGTGAACCTTTATCTTTAATAATCATTTTCAAGATAATGAGAATCACTTAGTAGGTCTTGTAAATATATAGGTTCCTGGACACCATTTCAGACCTCCCAGGAAAAGAGTCTTCAGAAGGGCCAGCAATCTACATTTCCAACATGTATTCCAGGTAATTAATGATTAGGTATTTTGAGCGAATACCTTAATAAACAGGTAAGACTTCTCCTTCCAAGCAACTGGCTTCAATTTCATTTTTAATTAAATGCCAAACCCAGATCAAATCTGATGTCTGTAATTCTCTTTTCTTCCATAAGCCCGTTTTCTGATATAATACATAACACAGAGAAACTAGAGTATCCATCTTTTGCCACTCTATAGTGAGTTTCTTTTCCTTTTGGGGGATGCTTCACTTTACTTGTTTCAAAGAATGTTTATTGGAATTTCCCAAGTTGGAAGACCTGAGTAAATAGAATGGTCTGTAGCTGAAGCAACCAGTCTAGTGGAGCTGCCATATACATACATATATACTTACTATGATATTCAGTGGGATTTCTGAATTATAAGATAGAAAGTTACTATCAAGTCCCATACTTGTTCAAACTTTGCCTGACAGGGCAGGGTATTGTAACAGAGAAATGCCATGTGTAAGATGGATATTGGGAGAACTCACCACCAGACAAGAGGTGAGGGGACAGAAGTGAAGGTAAAAGCAAGAGTTGGCAAGCACAGAGGCACAACGTTCTTAGATGTTCAAGCACATCCAAAAGAGGGCATTCTAATTTCCCATGGGGATAAGAGGATGTGCTGAACAGTGGAGACTCAATATAGGAAAATGAGTGGATCCTGCCTCTCTGAAGAAGCATGTCAATATCGTTCCAAAAGTTTTGTTAAAGCTCTATTTCTAGCTGCCTCTCGAACTGGTCTACTAAATGACTTGTCAAACTATAATTATCATATGTATTTATCCCTTTGGCTCTGCTATAATAAAATATAATAAGTGGGTAGCTTACACACAACAAACTTATTTCTCCCCATATTAGAGGTTGGGCAGTCCAAGGTCAAGGCAAAGACAAATCCAGTGTCTCTTGAGGGTCTCGTAGACAACATTTATTTTCCGTGTCTTCATGTAGCAGAAGGGACTGTCACTTTGGAATTAGGATTTTAACAGAGGAACTTCATAACCTCCAGTCCATTGCATGATGTCATTATCATCCCTGCTAAAACATGGAATGGAGGGTTAACCTTCATTGTATCAATTTGATTGGCCTGGGAGCTACCTGAGGAATTGCTGGGACACATTGCTCTGTGTGTCTGGGTGCGTCATGGGAGCATGACGTTGGATACTGTATCTGGTCCCTTCCTCTCTGGTACTGTTCCCTGGCTCTGCTTCCCAGCTGCCGTGAACTCGGCATCTTTGCTGTGCCATGCGCTTCTACAGTGTTTTTACCTTGGAATCAGCCAACCATGGTCTGAATACCCTGGAAACAGTTAAAATAACCTTCATCTTTAAGTTGTGGGCATTAGGTATTGTGTAGGGGAAAACTGACTAATATACATGGTCATCCTGTTTTAGTTGATGATAATTTGTTCAGTCATCCTAAATAGAAATCTTAAAGCTAGATAGAAACTTCTATCTATAGTGATTAGCCACCAATATCCCTTTAATCCATCTCTCTCTTTCATTCTCATTTTCATGATATATAATCTATTTCTCATGACCTCTCCCTCCAACTAGCTAATTTACCTCCTAATTGATCTTTTAGCTAGTAGTATGGGACTGGAAATTTGTTTCTTTCTCTGGTTCTTGAGTGTTTTATCTGCTACAATCCAGGATTTGATTTACTTTGATCCATCACAGTATAAAGCTAGAGTACAATTTTTGACAAAACTTTAGAAAGAGAATGTTAGAAGGGAAGCACAATCCAAAATTCCCTTAGAATTAGCTAAGATTCCCTGGGCCCACAAGCCCAAGGACTCTCTGTGAGCTCCTTTTATGGGCAGATTCAAGGCCTTTCTGTCTCCACCCAGTTCTGAGCCATAGGACATTCTGTCTTTTCCTCCGGACTTCATGTGCTCTCTACACCGGAGGCCAGCTGCACTTTTCAAAAGGCCCAGTGAGAGAAAAGCATCATGCCACACTAAACATAGGCTACTTTCTCTGTTTCTATGTCCTGGCTTTATATCTGTCTCTTGGGATGATGAATAGTGAGAAAATCCAGGCTAACAGGACCTCAGCAGGGCTACACATCAGAACAGAGGAGCCTTGATTCTATCCAGTTTTAACTAAAACAGTGTGTTATATTTTATTTCAACTGTCCAGGCCTTTTGACATTTCTATCTTCTATCGTGAGCATTTTAATCCTTTCTGTCACAAGTTTTCATGTCATCTTGTCGATGGGCTCTAAAGCTTAGTCCTTAGGTCTTTACCCATACTTTTTCCCTTAAGTAATTTCATCCAGTACCCAAGGTTTAAATGCAGGAATTTAGGCAGCGTATATTAAATTTGTCTGCAATCTGAACCTCTTCCCTGAATTCCACAACTGACTGCCATATAAGCCTCTCAGCTGCTAAGCCTACCGCTTAGACTCAATAGCTCCCATCACATTTATTGGCAACCTAGTTTACGCATTTGCTCAGTAACCTAGGACTTGCCCTCATATATCACATATAACCCATCAGCAAGGCCTGTTAACACATAAATCTGAAACTGGTCACCTCTTGCCATGCCCACTGCTGTCCCTCTAGTTCAGGCCCTCATGTTCCCAGTCATCTCATGCATTCTCTCTGCTTCTGAGACAAAACTCTTGCCCAGACATAAATTCCATGCCCTCAGAGAGGCCTTCCCCCAAATACCTTATTTCCACTGTAACATTCTAGTCCTTACTGGTTGTTGATTTTGGTTTTTTTTTTTCTAAATATTTGTTTTGTTTTTGTTTGCTTTTTCTTTTTGGCACTTTCACTACCTGGCATGACTTGTATTTGTTCCTTGTGTGCCCTCACTAGCTCTTCGTTGCTATTGGTAAATCACAGAAAGCAGGGTTGCATCAATCTTGTATGTTGCTGTAGCCCTAGCATCTATAGCAATACCTGGCACACGGTATAAGCTCAGTGAATTATTCAGTGAACACTCACTATCTTAAGAATACCACTCAAACAAGAACCCACAGATCTCCACAAAAACACATGACAGTCTTAAAGGGACAATTCCATGCAGAGAAAATGTAAAATAAATGATTACATCTGTTTATTAATGTTTACAGTTGTGTAAAACCAGCTTTAAACCCACCATTATTACAAAATAGAATAAGCTCCTTAATGTAAAATACCAGCATTAAATTTAAGAGTTATTTCACTATTCCTAAGACTAATCATAAGCAGATGCATGTAATGTTTTTCTAACTAATGGGCCCAGTGAAGTGTTTTTCTCAATCTCAAGGGCAGGAGGCCCCCAAAGCAGGATCAGAACTTGATAATTTCTGAAGCAGAAACTAATTATAACTTTGAGAAAAATAATTTCCCTCTACCTTCAAACCATTAAAGTTTCAAATCTTTTAAGTCAAGTTATATTCACATTTTTCTATTTTAAACATTTTGTATTTTTGTCCAGTATTTGTTTAGTTTTGGTGCTCATCCTACAGTGAAGATAAGAGGACAATTATTAGACTGTATATGGTTGACATTAGCATATTTTAACCTTTGCAGAATAAATAAAAAAGGAATATTACATGAGAGGGAAATAGAAATCTCCCTTTTAAATTCTGCATAAAGTCTCCTTCCTACATTTATCTGTCTGCACAAAGTAAGATAACTCATAGTTAAAGGTTCATATGTCCCTGGTATAAAATATGTAACAATCGTTTTTGAAAGGATTGTTTAGAATTACCATATTTCTAATGAAATTTTTTTTTAAATTTGCTGAACATAGTGGTGCATACCTGTGATTCCAGCTATTGAGAAGGCTGAGCCAGAAGAGCTTGGACACCTTAGTGATACCCTGTCTCAAAAACTAAGAAAGGCTGTGGATGTAACTTAGTGCAGAGGTCTTAGGTTCCATCTCTACTACTTAAAAAAAAAAATTAAAATCATGCAAATAAGTAACAGTGGATTGGGCCTGAACTGTTTAGTATTCTAGTCATTTGCCATGAGTTACTTACTATAATGACCTCCCAGAGAACGTCAAAAGAAAATTGTTAGTGAATGGAGTCTAGTTCTTCCTAACAGAGTAACAGAGAAACTTTTGCTGATTTTTTAAAAAATCAACTACAATCAATTCCTCTCTGTTCCTCAAAGTGAAATTGGTATTTTACCAAGATGCCTCATGTTTATACTATGGACTTACGTACTCATCAATACTTCTGTGTCTCCCTGAAGCGGTAACTTCTCAGTTTTCAGGCCTTTGATTACTGTATGGCTTGCTTTCTAATCTGATCTGCACCATTCCTTCTTCTCCGCTCTCCCACCCTCATTCCTGTGCATTGTCCACATGGAATAACCATAGCATTCCAAGCATATTGTGCTAACATAGCTCTGTACTTTTTGTGATATGTCCACAGTGTGCGGTAGCTACCCACTCTTTAGCTCTGTTCTGAACCTCAGCCACCTGGAGATCTGTTTATCATTGAGTCTAAGCCTGTACTTTGCTGAAGCTTAACTTTTCCAACTGTAATAAATTAATTCTTCGATGTGCCATTTTTATTTCATGTTATCACCTTTCCTATAAGCACTGGTCATTCTGAAATTCTTTATTGTCCTACCTAATTCAGCCACTTGACTCTGATCTTTATTGGCTAGGAAGACTTAGTATCTAGAGCTAGTGAACCACTTGGATAGCAAATGAATTTTTTTAAAAAATGGATCTATTGGTTCTTTTCTTCTAGGGTGTGTTGGTCTCAAGAAAGAGCTGCAGCAAGAAATGCTCTCAACAGAAATCTTCCATAAGAGAAGAGGGATCTGGACTGGTGATCTGGACTTAGTTTGGACAAAGATATGAAGAAGGCCTAGTTCTATTACCTTTGTAGGCAAATGCAAAAGTCCTTTATTGCTCCGTCATGGTGAATCTTCTGTCAAAAGATTCTTTCTTCCTGTCAGAATTGCTACAGTCTCTGAAGAGATCTTTATCAATAGTGTAGTACAATAGTAAGGCATACTTGAACATTAGTGCTATGGTACAGCCCAAAACAGTGGTAAAGAGAGGTGCTGCTGGAAGACTGGCATTCTATAATTCCATCAAATCAAAGCATTTGGAAGCAGACTTAGCTTTTTTTTTTTTTTTTTTTTTTTTTTTTTTATTTTTTTTTTTTTTTTTTTTTTTTGGACTGGGAATTGAACTACAGACCTTGCACTTGTGAGGCGGCCAGTGGAACCACTGAGAATCCCCAGCCCCAGCCCCAGACTTAGCTTTTAAAATTAAAATTCTTAGGATTACAACCCTTAAGTGATGGTCAGAGGACTTTATATAGTTTTCTCACCCAGACTTAATCAGACCACCAAGGGGTTACAGTCTATAGAAACAAATGGAAGAAGAACTATAAATCATAGAAAGTTAGTACAGAAGTTGGTACAGCATTAATTTCCAGAGTCACTGGCATAGAGGGTAGGTGATATTACTGGTAAGTAAGGGAGACCAAAACTTAGAGGAAAGTCTATATCATTATGTTCATAGAATTTTTTTTCAAGTCACACCGCCTTGTATTACTCTGATTCACTTGCAGTGACTCTAAGACAACCCCAACACAGAAAGCCGCACTATATAAGTAGAACAAGCTCTCAGGCACGATCCAAGACAGAGGTGGCAAGTGTGCCTTCTCTAGGTTGTACAAGATCAAAGGAAGAATCAATCAGAACTTGAGTTCCCACAGGTTCTGCAACTAATTTCATACCTGGCAATTCATAGACTGAGAAAATACTTGTAGGATGAATAAACAAGCAAGTTAAGTATGGCTTAAAATCTTTATTCCTCGTCTTCCTCATTGGATGGTTTTGGGAGCACCAAATGAAGTTACCTTGAATACACTGATAACTGCTTGATGAAACAATACTTTATTGATATATGATTACTTTTTCAACTTCCTGAAGATCATAGAACTTAAGTAAACAGCATTTTAGCCATTACGAATTAGAATTTAGACCAACAAATTTCCATTGATGAATGTCATTATATTGTATACCTAAATGTACCAACAAAATTAATTTAAAAGGATAGAATTTAAACCATGCTGTAAGCTACTGAATTTTTAAAGCTTTAAATAGGTAAACTAAGCAAAGATGCTGCATAATTTCTGACCTTTTAGTGAATAAAAGGATAATATTGCTGGCTATTTGCAAATAATTTAAAGAATAAACTGAGACCTAAATTTGACATAGATAAGTAATTGGCATTTCTATAAAAACTAATGTATGTTAAACGAATGAAGAGCAATTAGGTTGCAAGATAATTTAAAAGAAGTTGTTTTACACATTTATCAGAGTGGACCCTTGGTTTAGAACTCAATTCATTCATGAAGGCTGGTTGCAACTCAAGTTGGTCAACTGAAGGCTCAGGCTCCTCTACACAGCCTTCAAAGTCTGTCTCCTGTACACAGGCGGATCTCAGTGTCCTTGGAGAGCAGAATTTCTCAACTCCACACAGGAAAGGATATCATAGTGTTCCTTCTAGAGCTCTTTTAGGGTTAAACCTGTATCTCAGACCATCTGGAAGCACAAATGGCCAGCATTTGGGTTGTAACTCAAGCCTTTGGTCCTAAGTTAAAACTAAAATTGTGGTCACAGCCCAAGTATTCATATGTCAGGCAGCAACTCAAGGGGCAACTGAAGGCTCAGGCTCCTCTACACAGCCTTCAAAGTCTGTCTCCTGTACACAGGCGGATCTCAGTGTCCTTGGAGAGCAGAATTTCTCAACTCCACACAGGAAAGGATATCATAGTGTTCCTTCTAGAGCTCTTTTAGGGTTAAACCTGTATCTCAGACCATCTGGAAGCACAAATGGCCAGCATTTGGGTTGTAACTCAAGCCTTTGGTCCTAAGTTAAAACTAAAATTGTGGTCACAGCCCAAGTATTCATATGTCAGGCCATTCAAAACTCGAAGGTCCACTGTATCCTTAAAACTACCCCACCAGGAAAGCAAATCTCTGTGATTTATTCCTATTTCAAATGGAAGGAACCGAGGCTCAGTGAGGCTAAGTGATTTATTTGCCCAGAGTCACTATACCCATAATTTCTGGAACTGTGACTTGGCTGTGACACATCAGAGCTGTCTGTGACCACATGCTGACTGGCTTGGGACTTGGGATGAAAGGAACGCAGGGAAAGCTGACCGCCTACGGAGGACGGAAGGCTCGGAGTCTCTAACAGATGAGGACAGTGAGCAAAATGAGAAAGAACAACACGTGCCTGTTTCGAAAGTGCATTTCCTGTTTTTAACAGCCATCCCTCGGTATGCTTCATTTATCATGAGGATATAATATAGCAGTCTGGAATCTATTGAGAGTTGGCAGCAACTTTATTACATTCTCACTCTAAAAGATTTTATGGTCTTAAGGCATCCAGATGCAGTTTCAAAGTTGGGAATGAAACTAACGAAGTCTCAAGTCTTACCACTCAGAACAGAAACAACTGATTTCTGAGGCGACCCTGCTCAGTTCTGGTTAAAGGCAACACTGCCTATGAACGGACAAATGGAGAATTATCTCAAGAGTCTTGATCAGTAAACCCATGGGCTCTTATATTTTCTTTAGAATAGCAACTCTGTGATATAAATTGAAACATACCCTTAGTGGCTTATTCAATGGAATCAATGTGATTCTTTGGGAACTAAAAAAAAAAAAAAAAATCAAATCAGCCTGATAGACTGAGGAATCACTTGTGTTATAAATCACGTGTTAAGATGACATAGAAATGTTGTACAATTTAACATTTATCATCCTGCAACTAAACTTTTCTCTAAAGTATACTAAGTTAAATGTATGTTCCAGGGGGAAAAGGTATGTGTAATTTGTATACATATAAATACAAATTGTACATGTATAATGTGTCTTTTAAAAGATTACAAGCATGAGCAACAGTTTTAAATCCTATTATAAAATAGCTTTGATATAAACCATACAATAGAACTTGACCCTACTGTGCTTGTCTTACCCTACAAAAAATTTTTATTTCATTCTACAATAAGGGTATAAATTCCAGTGATTCACAAAATATCTTCTAATAAATTCTGATCTCAGTGTGTGTGAATGTATTAAAATCAAACCACAACAATAGCAGCTAAACTATTAGTACTAGAAGATTGATTTAAAATGTACTATTTTGTATATCTATGAAAAAAATTATAATTATCCCTTAGTTTTATTTACTTACATATTTAGGTGGTAAGCATATCTGGAAAATATTAAGAATTTGTATATATGTTATTAAAATGGAAATTATCAATGGCTGTCATGGTTATTATTTTCTGCTTTCTGTTACTACATTAACTTCCCAATAATTACTGGAAGCTAAGTGGGGGGTAGATTAAAACATAATGCAGGAATGAATGTTACACTCCAACTGTATCTTTTGTTGGTCATATACAGGTTGTAAACTTAGACCATATATGTAATAAAGCAAGAAAGCAATTTCTCCATATGAAAAAGAGATATTAAAATCAGGCTCCAAAAAAATAATTACTGTTTAAAATTTTGAATTCTAAACTATTTTTCAAAACAGTTAAAATCTCGTTTGTTTATATTTTATTCAAATGTTAAGGGATATTATTAAACACAGAAATTCAGCTCTCAAAAATAAGATTATGAAATTATTTTGAAATGTAAAAATCATGCTACTTACTAATGAAAATATAAAATGGTGCGACCACTTTAGAAAACTGTCACTTCTTCAAACATTCAGACATATATTTACCATATAATGCATCAATGTTACTCCAAAGTACACACTCAAGAGAAATAAGAATATATGTCCATTCAAAACTTTGCACATGAATATCTATAGTATATTATTTACACTAGTCAAAGGGTTAAAAAAAAAAACAAAAACTAAATGCCCAAAAACTGATGGATGAACAAAATGTGACTAGCTATAAAAGGGGATAGTTGACAAAAAAAAAAATAGCTGAAATACTGATATGTGCTATAAAGTGGATGAATGTTGAAAACATTTTGCTGTTCAATAAGCCACTCACAAAGGATCAAATATCGCATAAATCCATTTCTCTGAAGTATAAGAAAATCCATAGAGACCCTGGGTCTTATTCATACCAAAAAATGCTCTACCACTGACCCAAATACCCAGCTTGAAACAGAAAATATATTCTTGGCTACCTAGAGCGAGGAAGAGAGGAGGGCTGAGGAAAAATGAGAATTGACTGGTAATAGGTAAGAAGTTTCTTTTTAGGGTGTTAGGCCAAGGAGGGCAAGGTGGTACATGCTACTAGAGAAGCTGAGGCAGGAACATTGAATGTTGGAAGCCAGCTTGTCTCAAAATAAAACTTATTAAAAGTGTTGGAGCTGTAACTTCCTGGCACTGTGCTTGCCTAATGTGCACAAGGTCACAGTTCAATCCCGAGTACGTACTGGGAAAAAAATGCCTAAAATTTATTTTTGATGAGTATATAATTCTGTAAGTAACCAAAAACCATTGAACTCATTTTTACAAAGCAATAGCAATCTCAAAACTAATCAATATATGCATGTCATCCATATTTTTCTCAGAAGACTTATACTCTTGACCATATAAAAGGGTGTCTTGATCTAGCACATATATAGAAGTTAAAAATTTTTTTCACAATAGTCTTAACTCTTCATGATAGAGATGGAGACTACTGTCCATGTTGTGTTTGGAAGAACTGAAATCTTGACTACATGCATTAGTTTTTCACTTCAAATGGAAAAGATCATTGGGCTTTAATCAATCTCATCGAGTTTTTGGACTAAAATATCTGGTCATCTGAAGATTAATGCACTGTCAAGAGAACAATTAGCACATTTTATATCCCGACTTATGTATGTATGTCTTCACCAAACAACAGAATGCCTTTAAGAGGTTCTATTTAAGAGCATGAGAGCCATGTATTTTCATCTGGAAGTTAATGCATTCCAAATAAAGTCTAAAAAACACACCACTACATCAAAGAAAATGGCAAAAAGGATTAA